GAACCTGACTCAATTTGCTTGCCTGTTTTGTGTCAAATCAGCTGCCTTCATTTAGCAGAAGAGACCTACGACAAGAGATTCATCGTGTCTTGCAGAAGTCCTCCTGAGGAAATTGAGGGTCAACATGAAAGCATTCATGTTCGACAAGCAAGTACTTCATTGCTATTTCGAGGTGTCCGTGGTGGGCTTAGAAGTGGCCTGATTTTACAAAATTTACCCTAGGATAAACAAATCCATGGATAATTTGTCATTGGTATGACCACTATGCATTTCCATAGTGCCGCAGAACGCCGAGAACTCCTTAAATTGGGGTCTTAGGAACAAAGGTTGCCAAATTCGGTATTTCATGAAATCAACAGTTTAGGGCCACATGCGCTTATGGCGTGGAATATAATTATGCTACTGACTTTTAAGCCTTTCAGGAACTTTAAAAGTTAAGCTTTAGGAGCTGTGGCTCCCAGGCTTAGTAGCCGACACGTTTGCCACCGGGGTCACATACCTGTGGCACCCAGATTTTCATACTTGAGCCCAGCTCCATAAAGATGGGATGCATTCTTTAGCGGTTTATGAGATGTGTGATTGCACCTCTTCATGTGTATCAGACAGATGGGTTGGGTTTAAAACAATGAAGTTTATATAGGAAGTTTTCGGTCTTCAGATAAATACATTTTAAAACATTTTTATCAGTGGTTGAATTCTTCGGTTTGGCAGTGTAGGCTTTGCTAACATATTGGAAGAACAAAACACTAGAACTCTGTTGAGCAATTTCCTTGCGAACCAGGCCCAGTTAATTACAAGAAGCTTCACGGGCTTTTTCGTTCTCTCTCGACGCAGTCGCCAAGCTAACAGACTCTCAGCGAGTTTGTAATCCTATAATGAAGCTATTTTCAGAATCATGTGCAATGTAATGCTTTTGGAGCTATTTTGGATGCTGCAATATTTATGTGATATTCCGTATTTCATAAATTAACGATGATGAGGGGGGGAGGCGATAGGCATACTAGATGGCGTAGTAGCATGCATTATTCAACCACTTAGGAATTAATACCCAAGATCAACGTACTCTCCTCTTCTTTATTTAAAACGAACGATTTTAAAATAAAATACACAAACAAACATTTCAATGCGCCTGCCTACGGCAGACGTGGTAAAGTACCACCACATGCACCCATTTCTTAATTGCGAAGCAAATCAACCTCGCAAAATAACCGCTGCTCAAATTCACACAAAGACGAAATTCCCTTTTCTTGTAGAAAGGCAAATGCCAAGATACTGTGAGACCTCTGGCAAATGGGTTTAGCCAGCAAAATCATTTGCCAGTAGGCTTGCTGAGATGTAAAAGGCACAGTACAGAACAAATGGCTAGTATGATACCGATAGAAAAGTAATGGCCAAACACCATATATCAGGGACAAGTACATTCGTAAATAATAGGACCTTAATACAAAACTGACGTGTGTCTTACTAAAACAAGTAGTTTCTGTGAGTCCAGACGAGGAACATTGCTCAGTATGACTTTATTTGATTGCCAAGTTCCGAAAACGGCCTAGCCAAAATCCTAGGCCAAACGGAGAAACCATCTAATTGTAGTGTTTAATCAGTCCAAATGACCCCACTGTTCGATCAAGGCAAATCGATGTTACGAGATCAACAATAATCCGAGATCCAGAATTTTCCTTATTCAGAAACATTACAACAGGATAGATAGCCCAACATGAAAAATCCTTTATGCACACAAATATAAAGGACTGCGTTTAAATTGGAATTTCCGCCTTGTCAAGAAAAATAGGGACAAAGTATAAAATTCAGATATCTGACATCGAAGTTGAATTGGTACATCCAATGCCATATCACACACATGCAATGTCTCGATTTTCTTTTCTGAAGCCGGTATTACAAGCATACGACGCATATCCTTTACCAGGTTATGATAATTATTTGTTCCAACTCGTGTCGGAAGTAGACTGGTGGGATTTGATAAAATTGGATGTGAGACTTTCCCGATCCGAAGGAAAGACCTCCACTTTCTCCAACTCGCGAACAGCGATTGAAGTGGTTAAAAATACCAGTGATAATTGATATCACATTAAAACGCTAAATCATCTGGACTATGATATCCGACGTTCCCCCAAAATTTTAGTAGCGACCGAGCTAATCAGTGAGAGGACTGCTAAATTCCCGGTGTACTGTCGTCTCTAGCGCTTTGCAGATGAAGAATTTGACAAATTGGAGACACGAATTGAAAAAGCCTGAAAAAGTACCCGACTGTTTGAGTTTGGTTAACAATAGAAACGCCATACTCTCCTCAAAGTGATTCCACAATTAGAGCGAAAGTGTTAGCCATTGTTTATAGTCTAAATGCTTGATAAAAAAAAGAAGTGCTTTCAGTAGAGCTTTTAAAGGACATTCCGAATTAGTGCCCAAAATTGTAACAAAGGGACAAAAGCGCGGAAACAAAAACAGGCTGGGATTGCTTCTAGAAAATAGGCGTAGTGAAATGGAGTGTCACCACTTTTAAAATGTTGCAGATGTAGTTGCATAAGTGATGCAACTTTTGGAAGTCTCTTTAAAAATCGCCCACAAGAAGCGATGATATAAGAAAAAAAGCGGCTGGAAAACGTTATGAGACACAGTGAAATGAAAAAAAAGTAAGAAAATACAAGCAATATTCCATTATAAATATAAATACGTAGATCGAAGGTTCCCCACTTTGCAAATTCAACCTCCAAAACAGCACATGCCGTTAACAGTCAAAATACCTTAAAATCCATCGTGAGTGTAGGACACCGAAGAAGCAACGGAGAACGCCTTTAAGATGCCATGTGGAATCAGAAAAAAACAAAAATTCAGATGGATCCTAACAGATACTTAAGTTCCCTTAAAAAACAAGTAGTAATGATCTGTGAGATTAGGAAAAACCTAACAGGTTTTCGGACACAAGTCACCCATTCCAAGAGGAGGTGGAAAACCTCATTAGAAAAAAAAAAACTTTTTACTAGCAAAAAAGACACAGGGGAGCCAAAGCGCATTCACAGCTTTGGTACATCTCTCCTGGGTCATCTACACGGAGCCCGAGAGGAAGTAAGTCAGGATAATGAATGTCGTGAATCATTATTTAAAAAAACAGACTGCCACCAAGTGTATAAAAATAGGAATAAATCAGGTAGGTCAGGACGAGAGAGAGAGAGAGAAGTGTCTCAGGTTTTGAGATGCACAATACTGGGCGTGGAGATCGAGCGCATGGGTCTGGCGAGGAGGACAGCCAGACCGGGGGATGGGAGGCTGCCGCGGGTCTGGAAGCCCTGCTTCTCCGCGCCCAACGCCAAGGGTGGCAGAGGCGAGAGACACATCAATGAGGGCGTCATTGATTTAGCGCAGAAGCGCCGTGCACCCCCATATGTCATGCGGCGGTAGAGATAAGGGCCACACACCGAAGAGGCTATCAGTGGACAGGCGAGGAGCAGTTCCAACACCGCGTCACGAAAGGTGGGGAGAAAAAGGAAGAAGACCCAAAAACTACTCGAGAAATAAACCGAAAGAAGGGAGCTGAAGAAGCGTGAGAGATGGATCAGGCGTTGTCTATAGGCCTCTGAGTGACGTGAAGGAAAAAGGGAGGAATCATAACGCATGAGGATAACAACCACTAAGGGAATCATGAGAAGGAGGAAGGCAGTATTGATCCCTAAATGACCAATGATACGACGAATGTCGCGACGACTGGAGACGCTTATTCCACACTTCCGATGGTTCCTTTTGATGGCAACAAGCTGCCAGGCGATCAAGAGGTTGCAGATAATGATCACGACAGTGGGAAGGGTATACGATCCAAGAACATAGATTAGGAGAGTGTAGGTGGCGCCAGGCAGGCTGGGATTTGTGAGAGTGCAGGAAGTTTGGTTGGTAACGTTGGAGACGACAATGTCATAGAACACAAAAGTTGGTGAGAAGAGCGCCAAGCCGATTACGACAATAGCAACAATGAGAATGGTTGTACATCGAAGGTGCCGATCGCCACGGAATTGGAATGGTGAGTAGACAGTACGTACCCGATCCAGTCCAAAAATAGCCAAAATGGTGGTAGCCGTGAATCCACTGCTATCAGTCACATAGGTGATGCATTTGCAGGAAAGGGAGGATATCTGATCCATCTTGAGATTAAATCTGTACTGAGTGAGCCAACCGAGACCTCTACCGAAAAAGTCATCCAGGAATGTATCAAAAACGAGTAGGACGAGAAATAACACAGTGATGGCGATGGCATAGAGGTTAAAGCGTCCCGGTGTGCGTCGGTGAAGACGACAGAGGACGACAAGAGAGAGTAGGTTTCCACAGACACCGTGGACGAAAATGATAGGAGAGAAGTAAGCGCGGAACACGAGGACGAGGAGCTGAGAGGCTTCGTGTTTGTCGCCGTCGAAAGATTCGTAAAAGGGGCTGTCGTTGTGAAAGCGGTCCAGCCATGCCATACTGATGGTGTTGCTGCTGCTATTAGTACTACTGACACTGCTGCTAGTGGGAGGTAACATGGAAGTAGGAAGTGGGCGCAGGTGGCTTTTATACCCCCGCCGTGGTGCTTTGTCTATGGCTGGGAATGCCATTGAAGTGGGCGATGTCCGTGCCATGTGTGCGCACGGGCGGGCGGAGCTAGGAAACACAGAGAGCTGTGTCCAATGGACTGTCACCATCCCATCGCGTGAACTGTTGCTGATTACTACCATCTCGAGGGGTAGTGGATGTGGGTAGGAAAACCAACACTGAGTTGGGAGGGTGAGGGAAATAGAGGTAGTTTAGGACCATGTGGATTGGCCAGCGGGGGAGGAGGAAATAGCCAATGTACATGCGTGCGCGCGTGTCGGAGGGGGGTAAAGAGGGGGCGGACGTGCAGCACGGAGGGCTTTGAAAAATGCAGAGGCCACGCGGCGCGTAAATGATGGAGGCGTGAACCATCAAATGGCCATAACTATGTTGGCGTATGGGTGCCTAGTGAAGTAACTGGTAAATTACCACTTAAAACGGTGCCACTGTTTCACTACGGAAAAGCGCTGACGAATCCGGCTACAACGCGATTATAATGAGTGCCTATTTTTCATGGAATTCGAGAAAGAACGTAGTGATGTGGAACCGGTTTAAATTTAGACCGGGAGCAACATAATGAAATACTGATTAAACTGAAAAGCAGATAGGCATTAACAAAATTTTGCAAGAGACGATTCAAATAACGGAGGGATTCAGAAAGATCAAAGTACCACCAAAAAATACCAATAACATATTCATCATCCATGTAAAAGAATTCCATTCTACTTTGGCAAAAACAATAAATCACTTCAAAAACATCTAGCAAATAATCCATTTTTGTGCAGAATTTGTCCAAAATTTTGTGTAGACTTGAGCCTGTGCATGGACAAATCCCAGAAACTAAAAATCGTAAAATGGAAAACATACGTTGTCAAATATGAGTGCAAAGGTTTTTTCAGAGAAAATTCTGAATAGATTCCCTACCACCTTTAAAAGTTAAATCTCTCCCAAACCTTTACAAATTTAGAAACAATTACTTCTATCCAACCTGCTGGTTTGAATGCCCTGAGATGGTCTCATTCGAGTATAAGTAGCTATTAACAAGCCAGGCCAGAGCTTCCAAAGGAAAGACTGATTATGATTTGGGCAGTGATAAAACAAGGTATTAGTGACGAGAAACAAGCAAATGTCAAAATTATCTAAGATACCTTGAGCGCTTTAGTGAGAATTCCATTCGTGAAGTGCGCAAATCCTATGCAAGGGATGATTCGGCCATAACCTGGAAGTTAGGCCACTAGTACGTAGAAGACTAAAACCCGAAAGGAAAGTATCTCAAGTACGGAAAGTATTAACAATCATCTAGCAAGGAGGAAATGGTTGGTGACTACAGCAATTATACAATTAATCGTCGCGTTTTATTTCACAGTCTACAAATTAGTACCAACTACCAAAGTTTGCTTTTTCCTTTTCAAAATACAGTTTGCATTTACAAAAACAGTGGAATTTATGCATATTAATATCTAAGCATGTGTCGTTGCAGGTCTCAAAACTCAAATTTTTTTAGAAAAATACTTAGTTCTGAAAGCTGCTCTAGTACATTTAGGCGCACCATCTTTCACCGCCAACTAGGACATTATCAATGCTGCTGCTACTACTGCTAACGCCAATGCATCTGCCAACTGAAAGCACATTGTGGCAAA